TTGTTACTACTAGTAGGGCACTTGTTACATTCTTTTTGTCGGGTCATTTATCAAGTCAGGATGGAATTCGTCGAGGGGTTGCTGAACCTTTGTTTGCTTGATCCTCGGCTTTGATTTTCATTGAATCTACGAGCCTCTAAGAGCTTTATTCAGCCTTCCTTTTTCAGCTGATGGCTTGTTTCGTTTCTTTTGTTGCTCAAGATCAAGGACATGCCAATCTCAACGATTCAGTGCTTAAAGCTTCTGCAACTTTTGCGGGGTGGATTGGGCCGCATGGACGAGAAGATGCATGTTCTAGGGGCTCAAGTCAGTGAGCTTCACGACAACATCTGCGGAAGCGTCATCCGCAACGTTCGTGTCTGAGAGAATGGCGCATGGGAGGAAAGACACAATACGTCCTCTTTGAGAAGAGGAAAGAGACACAGAAGCTTCTACACTCTGCGGAAATTTGTGCAGAAGTGAGTTTTGGGAGAATAATAGCTGAATAGATGAATAAATGCTGAGCTTTGCCAAGCACGCTCAAACTGCGCTGAATACGATCAGCCCACACTGCCAAGCAGTCGGTGGGATGTCCTTTCCACTAGCTGAAAAAGGTGTCAGTTCTTCAACTAGCTGGGCTGATGTATTGACTCAGTTGAGTCTAAAGATGTCTAAGTTAGACAGAGCTACAAAGGTGTCAGAGAGGTGTCTCGAACAGCATCGCTACGAACGGAGCAAGGACGCTACTAGTAGCTCTTGGCCGTATTACTAGGAACAAGAAGCTACTAGGGGCTCCTGGCTGTACTACTAGGAGCAAAGATGCTACTAGTAGGTAACTCGGAAATCTCGCACTCTTTTAGGATGGCACTGTGCGCCCAAAGCATTCGCGCTACCCGACTGCAACACTTGGCTGTGATGTCGATGCCAGGACGTATCACAGGTTTGAGTCCTAGTTTGAGAACCGTTTTTTAGTCTAGACAGTTTAATTACGCAGTGTGTGCAAATGGGGTATTTCTACGAAGGGTCAATGATTGGGTCATTGTTTGTTATTTGCAATGATCCCCAGCCTCTTGAGCAATGGCAGCGCCAACAGCAACCTCTACGTTGCTGGCCTTCCTCCAAGCACCAGCGAGGAGATTCTCCGACAACTCTTCAAGGAGTTCGGAGAAGTACCTTGAAAGCAACCCGTGAGTCCAATGTGGCAGCCTTGAATGACGTAAGAGCGATGGCCTCCAACATCCTCCAACCTACTCGCATGCTTGTAACAACCAAATATTCATGAGTTGTGTCCCTTTTCTTGATGATTCCTCTATCGTTCTTGAAAAAGACCGAAAGCCCACACCTGCTTTTTTGTGACAAGTGGGAGGTAGCACAGGACAAAAGGCGGTAGCAAAAGGCGGTATAAGTGGCTTTGAACATATAAAATGCATGTAAGTCTAGTGCTGTAAGTCTAGCAACCCACATTGTTGTTCCAAAAGCATAGAGTCAGGCATTCCAGACCTACAGCAGGGCAGTGTTCCAGCCAGTCCGACCAAAAGGGTAAGAATATACAGATAGCACTTGTCACAGCACCTGCTACTACGTTGCACCGCAGGTCAATCGCCATGACCTTTTCCAGGTGTGGTGATCGATAGGTTCACACTCCGACATTGGTTTGCTGTTAACTCAGTTCCCACGATGAGAAGGAAGGTGATGGAACCGAAGGAATGGCAAAGTCCGCAATCAACTGAATGTTGAACAAATGTTTACGCATGTCGACAAAGTCTCAGCGGTGGCAACGCGCAAGCGGCGGTGAAAAACCTGTTGTAGGGGAAGTATCATGAAGGACCATGAAACAAACCGTGGAAGAGTAGGGTAACAGCTTGTGAGAGAACGAGCAGGTACGTCCAGCTGGCCAAGCTGGATATCCCATTTCACTGGTAGCTTCGTTGGACACAGTCCCAGTGAAATGCTGTGTCCCTCTGCACGAAAAGGAGGTAAGTGAACAGTGGAAACCCTTAGATACAGGGGTTGACACACACACTCTGACACTTGTATTCAGTGACTCAGTTCCCACGTCCAGAAGGAAGGTGATAGAACGGCATGGTGAAAGGTCCAAAGACTTGAAGGTGTTTTAACATTGAAGTTTCTCATCTGCAGCGGTGCGACGACGACGCGCGCGGGCGGCGAGGGAAAGGGTTTAGGGGAAGTAGCATGAACCACCATGGAAACAAACAAAGAAAGAGTGGAGTGACAGCTTGTACAACAGTTTGGCAGGTACGTTTGCAGCCCCCCTCAGTGGCCTCTTCGTTGGCCATGCGCCACTGGGGAGGGGGATGGCCCCC